TGTTATGACTTGAAATGATTGACATGTCATGATAGGTTAACGTTAACTTAACGTTAACATAAGATTAGTTTTTGAGTGATTTCCATTTTAAGATGCTGATCCCCCATCTTTGGTATTGATTTGCTGATTATATAAATACATTTCAAATCAAGCTTTTCTATTTTAGTACGATCGGCAACCAACAAATCTTTTAGTGTTTTAATTATATATAATATAAATAATATGAATCCACTTACATCTTAACTCTACCTTGTAAAACATTTAGTACAAAGCCTAACCCGAAAACCGATAAAATTTTGGTATCTCCTGATCACTTTTTACAAATTTGACATCTTTTTTTCAATCAAGGCTAATTTAATAAAAGAAATTTCATCCATTCCTTCGGGTGGATCTAACTTCATATGTTCATCAAGATTCAACCTCGAATTATGCCAAATATCCCGTGTAATATAAGAAGTTGTTGAATTTGACCAAATAATGAAATTGTCTAATACGTACGTTAAAGTGTGTAAATCATAAGGTGGTAAATTATTACATAAGGTTTTTGAGAAGGAGCGGAGGAAATGTTTTCATGTGAAGAAATAATTAGGGGAACAATTTTATGTTTATGGTATATACAATATGTTTGTTAAAACCTTGTAGGAAAATAAATCAACAACAGAACAACAAATATATCTCGTACTATCTTTCGTTTTAATTAAGATAATTAAGGAGAAAGTTATGAAAAAATAATTTTTGAAAAAAGAAAAATAATTTTCACTATATATATAGTGATCATTGCAGAAGTGTAAATGGCTGAGTTATACTTTTTATATAATGGTGTTTTTTTTCAAGAGTGGTTATACGTAAAGTAGCGGTATGTAAATCTCCGCGAAGAAAACAATATTCATATTAATAATCTAATTCCGAATAAAAAACAATATTCATATTGATTTAATTCCGCTGAAGATTCAATGGAAATAATAGGAATAATAGAAAAACTGAGCGTAATAGTCGAGGAAGAAGACAGGTGATTGCTGATTGCTGATCTGCTTTCAATAAAATCCCATTTTAGAGGTTTCGCAGATTTCAAGACCATTAAAGGATATTGCATTGATTACTGAACCAAGAATTAAAACAATTAAAACAGGAAATCATAAATAATTATCGTTTAGCCTAATAAGATCATATGGATTTTCATTGACCGATATTTTTAAGGATTCTGATATGCGGACTGTGTTGCCAGTTACAACAGCATCAAAATGGTAATGGATAAACGAAACCATATTCTAGGTGGTCATCATAACTTTATTACTTACCAGCTGATAGTGCCGCAACATCACGCTAAATTTAATCCGAACTAAAAAAATAAATTTTTTTAGGTTCAAAAAATCGAAAGGGAATAAATATTTAAACATGACAGTTCAATAAACCGAAAAAAATACTAGTTTGAATAATAGAAAATAATAAAAGAAAGTAATAATTATCAGGATAATCAAAAAAAAAAATAATATATTTGAATTTACAAAATTTCTTTGTTTTCTGTTCAACATATTGGATGTCCATGTGGTTTAATTTTAATTATAACTTTTAAGAGCAAAGAAAATTAAAAGTCGCATAATCATATTATTTATGTTTTACTAGTTGACCACCCAAATTCGTATAATCTTTAATGTGATTTACGTTAAAAGAAGCTACAAAATAAATTGAATTATTAAATGATCCAAAATTTAAAAATAATTCAGTTTTTGTACAACTGTAGCAATATACTAAGAAGCTTGGACTAAAGTCACTATTTCTAAGAACCCGTGAAAGTACAAGGTACAATGTGAGTAGTCTTATTGACGAGAAAAATTACTTCAAATGAGAACAAACAGCAGAAACCTTTCTTTCCCAAATACAGATTACTGCAATACTACCATGATGTTTACTAAAGTGTCCACTTCTACATTGCGAAATAATGCCCTTCAAATATTTTGACACAACTCTAACTCATCTCGTATAGAGTATATGTCCCATGATTTAGAGATCCATATTCCTGGGAACGTTTCATCAAATGAGGAGCAAGTTTGGATACTAACTTGTCTATATCTGAATTTAGTGCAACGTTTTCCGGTAAAGCCAAACGACCTCGAATCGTACAACCTCTAAGTAATGTTCCTATCGAGTCTACACTTAATTCCTGGTCACATTCCACGTCAAGTAAACGCAAAACAGGACAATTTTGCGCAATGGTATTTATGACAGAAGTAGTCATATTGCGATAATGAAGTACTAAGTCTTCTACCTTTCTGCATGACTCGATAAGAGCGATAACAGGCTCATCGGTTAGAATTTTACTACAAACATCTAGAGCTCTCAATTGTGGACAAGATTCAGTGATAACAGACATAGTCTTGTCACTAACATTGCATTCTGGTATCAGGAGGGTCTCAATTTGTGTACAACACCGAAGTAGAGCAACAATCGCATTTTCGGTGATGGTGTTGCAGCAAATCAATCCTAACTTTTTTAGGTTTGGACAAGAGTTTGCTATGTATTCTATGGACTTGTTTGTTATATACTCGCAGTTATCGAGATCAATGGCTTGTGCTCGGTACACGATTGTGTTAATGATTTGATGCCTGCATCTGAAATGGGACAGCTATCACCACCCAAGTCTAATGACAGAAGATGAGGATATGTTTTCGCAATCAATTCTAGTGAATCATCAGTTACGCCATCACACGAGGATAATCTTATGCAACGAAGGGAGGGACACGAGATTGTTATAATTTTGACCAGTTCATCGTCCACTATATCGCTTATAGCCAATACCCTTAAGCTGTGGCACGCACTAATGAGCAACTTTAAGCTGGCAATACCATATGAAGTAAAAAGAGCGGCCGTTTGAATGTTAAGAGAATAGAGATAAGAAGGAAAAACCGCCTTTTGCTGACAAAATTGTTTCGTTAAAATACGGTAGGATAGTGCATTTACCATCCATGCATGATTCTTATCTGTGAGTCGAAGATGAATCTTGGCGTGAGGTGCGTTAATGATAGGACAATCACTTGCATGAAAGTGTTTCATTCCACAAAGAATCGCTATTCTAGCGACATAAAACGTATCATTTTCTTCCACCGGAACTTCTACATCATTATACCATGAGTTGATTACCGTTTCATCGAAATCCCATGCCTTTAAAATTTTTCTCACATTCTCTGCGGATATAATCCGAACTGTAGCTGAATCGTGAAGGCTTTGTATAATGATGTCGTCTCATTATTATAATTGCTGGCCTTGTTTTTCTTTGAGTTTTCCCACTAATTTCATGATACTCGTCGCATGTCCCATTTTTATTTTAATCGGATCGCTAATACGCTCCATTCTAGTTAACAAAAGAAAAGACACCATCAATTTCTTGATCATAAATTTTTCTAATCTCCTCGTATATTGAACAGCTTATATACTTCTCAAGATATTGTTTAACATGATCAGGAGACCACTCCTTAACGTCGTTGGGAGTTCATCGGTCATCATTAGGCATCCTATTTTTTTGGCTTTAGCCTTCCTTTGGAATAAAATAACTGTCTACTAATTATATTCGAAAAAATAATCGTAACCGAAATTAATTTATATAGACAAGCTGTTCCTCCTTATCATTATATTAATAATAAACTGAGTCCAATGAAAACGAAACGGACCCAAAAATTGATTGATGAAATTTTATTACGGTGTTTAAGAATCTAATATACACTTTATTGTTACTCATATCTTAACCAGTGATGGTACGGTCCATTGACTTAAGAGGAGAGATCAAAACAAAAAATAATGCTATCCTTTCTTCGTTTGCACCTTTGGATAGCAATATCGTCAACGATGATGAGGTTATTTTTAAAATCCTATTCTGAGTGAAAATAACGATTAACGAATGTTGAGATGAGCCGACATACCCAGAGGAGGCTTTTACTCATCTTATTGTTTCTATACTACTTCTATCCATATATAAAAAATTAGTAATCGTAAGCAGTTGGAGATAACCGGAGCAGTTAATCAGAGGCATAACAGGGTCGACAATCAAGAGGCGATCCGTTATTCACTTTTTGCTATCGAAATCTACTAAAAGAAATTAACAGGTGGTGTTAATTAACGTGACCAAATAGTTAGTTTATAGTGAAATGACGAAATATTAACAGAGTTCACCTGCGCTTTATGTTAGTGCATCCAATAATCCTAAAAATTTCAGGTTCGTTTTTTAGAAACATTCAATGATCTCAATAAGTGATGTATTCTCACCCGAATTTATTTTTTGTTACAATCTCATTATCATAGGGACTTCTCGACCACCCCAGACCACATACTCTAATAGTATGATAGTTAAGATATAATTACTAAAAAATATCGAAAAAGGGTCAAATGCCTATTATATTGAGAATCTTTGGTTTCTTTTATCTCGTTATACGCCTAGTCCGCTTGTTCCTCACTGTAGACGAATTAGAGAGTATTGAAATTATTAAAACCTCTCATTTCACAGATACATTTCCTGAGAAGTAAAACTGTGAATATGTTTAAGTTGATCAAACTTGACGCCTTTGAAAATAATACATAATTACGAGAGCTTTATCAAATCAAATAAATCAACCATATCTGTAACATAATAATATAGATTTTATCCAAATTATCTATGAATTGAATTTTTTTTACGCCATGCTGTAATTGCTGCATATACAATAAAAAAAAAGCAAATTTTTTTTATAGATATATTATTTACATCATCAAAATAAAGAAAAAATTGACGTAACGACCTTTTCCGAAATCATATTTTTTGATTGTATTAAAATTATTCGTTCGTGAGAATTGGTTTCAATAAAAAATTTTTTCGTTGGCCCAGAAATGCTGTATAAGGAATAGAAACTAAAAAATATTTTCTTATAAGAAAGTAATTTTAAATATTCTTAAAATAATAACTAATGTTTTTTATTTGATCAAATCAAATAAATGAAATAATTCAAATAATACAATTGTTTTTTTTTCGGAAATATTGCTAAATCAGTTAAAATGATGTAATGCATATTAATGAAATTTTTTTATAAGGTATCACATTCGGCGGATATTATTAATAATGATGGTGTTATTATTATAGAATTTAATAATTGTAAATAATAAGTGCGAGTAATGAGTAATTCCCCTGTACTGATCATATTAATTTTATCGAAGTATATATTGTATTCCGTCATCCAGTTAAGAGTCTATGATCAAGAGTCTATTTAAAAAGGTATATATATAACCTTTTTTTTACGGAAATATTTTACATTTTTTACGGAAATATTTTACAAAATTTTTCAAAATTTACATTTTTCAGTTTACGGAAATATTTTTACAACTTTTTAAGGAAATAATTTTACAACCTCTACAACATGTACAGAATTGCTCAACTTGCATCTAAGATACCCAAGACCGAATGTATCAGAAAATTCTCCAGTAACTCCACGACTAATGTAGCTGGTAAGGGATAATGATGTTTTAGTTAGTAAGTTTATTAAGGGTATATAACTTATTTTTTACTATGATATATAAAAATTGAAGAGGTTAAACCTATTCGAGATTTTATCAAATCTGAAGATTTTAAGGCTTTTACCCGCGTTACTGGAGTTGCAACGTTTACTGCTGGTGTTATTTTCGTTAATAGTGCGATGATAAACCACTCAGTTGCTCCTATTGAGAAGGTGAAAAAGTTTTAGCGATTATTATCTCAATAAATCTCATAAATGCAAAGTCACTAAATTTAAATATTTTCATTTAAATCTAGAAAATCGATGGTCTCAGCAAGGAGGTTAACGAAGTCAAAAACGAGGTTAACAAAGTCAAAAACGAAGTTAACTACATTAAAGGGTTCCTCAAAACCGATTATAACAAGATCAGCGATAAAGGTGATAAAGAAAAATAAAAAAAGAACACCACCTACTCCCATTTCCGCATGTTTTAATAAAAAACAAATGTGATTAAAAATAAGAAATATTTTGTACCAGCAACATAAAGAAAATTTAAATAAAATAATAATGATAATGAAATAGGATCGTAGTTTCATTCTTATAAAATTTATGTATCTCTCTCTTTTGCTAAAATAATCGTAATAAAAAATCAGAAATCTCAGTTTGTCAAAAATACATATTTTGCAGTATAAAGATGGCATTTTTACTTCTCAGTCATAAAGAGAGTTTCTTTGCTCACTAAAATATTTATAGCTAACTTGCTCCTATCACTATTTCTAACTACGAGAATTTTCGAAATAAGACATTATTACAGTAAACATTCCTTAAATTTTTAAACATATGAATTTATTCATTAAGCCATTAATAAAATCTCGTAATTTGTTCAATTTAACAATAAAACTCCTTATTTTTTTATTAATTATTTAATAATAAAACATTATACGCAGTATATTCGGTTATGTGGGGGTATGTAAAAATCTTAGGTTACACATATTTTAAAGAATATAATTGGTTGCACGTGATCAAAATAGGGTAAGTGTCTATAATAAAAAAATATTAGCTAATATATGTCACTGCCCTAATAAATTTCCATACCCACAGCAATTTCCCTCACTTATTGATTCACCATGTCGCGATTAAATTTGTGATGATCGTGATTTCTGAATACTTTCTTACTTTAAGACAACTAAAGAAAGTTTATCTAAATTATCACCACTGATAATCGTACAAGATGGGTTTGCAAAATGTTTGTAGAATAAAATCCTGATAAATACGCTAGATTACAGGTTTGCTCACATTCCTGAAGAAACTCGTAAACATATTTATAATCTTCTAGTAAAATCATTAATGCCTAAAATTCTAACAGAAAGAGGCAGGTGAACCTATACAAGTTGAAAATATTAATTGCCACAATTGATGTTTTACTCTGGACGAATTCAACAAATAAAGTAATATAATTACATAAAAAAAAAATAAAATTCGTCAAACCTGAACGAGTTCATCAGTCATAATAACCGGTGGTACGTTTTTAGTGTCCAAATTATTCAGCACCAAGAACCCATTTTCCAGCATGAAGCGTGTTTAAATTATTCTTTTCTCATTCCAGCCCATAAATCCATAACGCCATAAATGAAACACATCTCCAATTCAACATTTCATCGTATCTTAGCTTTTAAAATTTCATTTTCATTTCACTGACATGAATGATGGATGAATTTACAATTCCAAAGCAAGCCATGAAGTAGCTGAAGTTTAAGAATCAGTAGTAATAACTGACCCTTGCACCGAACTTGATTTGGTTTAAAGATAAGACAACTTCATTGTACTTTGTCTGATGCAGTCAGAAATCTTTAATTGATCCTTCCCAAATGAAATCTGAAGTTACAAGATTGGTTTCCCACCATTTATCGTATCGCTGCTCTCTTGGCTACCTCTTTTTTAGGATAATCTTTGCTAAGATCGTAATAGAAAGAATCATTCTTTTAACAATCATATTACTTCTTGCATACCAAAAGAGGCCTATGATTTACGATGGAAATTTCTTCACTTCTCACGTATGGTTCAGCAACAAGTTTGAGCACAAGAATATGTTATTGATCGCTACATTCGAAAAATTTTGCTGGACCCTTATTTGGGATAAATAATACAGTAAAATAAAATTAAATTAAAACAGCGTACTTTTTAATGCCGATCACTTGTCCATAAATTCAACAGAACAAAATATACTTTTTTCTCAACATTTTGCTTAACTATATCATAAATTTTATTAAAAAAAATAGACTCCCCGGCATTCAAGTACATATTCTACTATATACTTACATAGCACTTTCGTCATGACTACAAGAAGAGGAAACACAAAAAGAAACCCCAGTCAAAATCGCGTCCACAGCTTCGGACACTTCAACAATACACAAACGAACAAATAGCTAAAGACACTTACGCCTCTGATGAAAATTCAGATCACCCTCAAATTAAGCAACGTAAAACAGAAGACACTACAGAGCTTACGGAACATATTCTTCCTTCGCACCCGTTATCTTCAGAAAATGCGATACTACTCAAATATCAAATTGATCACGTGATCAACCGATCAAATAATCCTCAAACACCAGAAGTTACGAAAACTTTCATTACAAAAACAGAAAGACACACAAACAAATTACAAGAACTTATAAGAATGGTAAAAACTTGATCTCGACTTCATAAGAAGTAGCGTTCCTTTCAAGCTGAGACATAAGACTACACACTTCTCAATTATACGCTATCTACCAACTCATACACCTTCCCATCTCCTTTAACTGCAAATACACCAAATAAAAATCCTCGTTGCACACCAAACACCTTTGATCTCAACTTCATAAGAATTTAACGTTCCTTCCAAGCCAAGACACTAATACTAATTACAACGCTATCCGTCAACTATAACCTTCCCCATCTTTAACCACAAATACATCAAATAATAAATCTCGTTGCGCATCAAACTCAACTTCATCAATAAGGAATTTAACGTTCCTTCTACACCACAAGACAAAGAAAATAATAGAACACTTCCAATTATACATTATCCATCATCTCATATTTTTCTTCATCTTCTCTAACTATACAAGATAAAAAAGAAAAATACATCGAATAATAATCCATGTTTCACATCAAACACTCCTGATCTCGTTTCTCCCACATCATATAAAGGGATAAATAGAACACACTCTATTATATGTTACCCATCAACTCGTACACTCTCCCATCTCTTTAACTACAAATACATCAAAATGGTAATCCTCGTCCTACACTAAACACTTGATAACAATTTCATATAAAATTTAACATTCCTCACAAGCTAAGACATAAATACTACACATTCAATTATACGCTACTATCAACTTCCCTAACTACACAATATAAGAAAGAAAAAATACATCAAATTATATTTCTCATTACACGCAAAATACTCTTGATCACAACTTCATCAATAAGGTATTAAACCTCCATTACTATAACCATGCAGGCACGGAAGATATTGCATCAGCAGCTTTTACAAAAGATCCTACAGTTGCAAATTTTCCTAAAATAACTTTTTGGTAACGACTAACGAGTTAAAGACAATGGATTTCATAGTTGGCTTCTCCAATGAGTTTGTTAATTGAATTTGTAAATTCTCCCTTCTTGCAATTGTCATAATTCTTGATCTGGCTTGTTCATTTGAGGTATTCTGAACCGAAAGTTCGTTAGAACTAGTTAGAACCAGTTAGAACTGGTTAAACTCCCAAGACTCAATGATCAAAAGCCTCTAAATCTAAAGCTTCTATTAAGAAACTTTCTAATGCAATCCCCTGCCTCATCAAGACCGCACAATAATTGACAGAACATATCACAAAGATCTCAGAGATTTCGTGTAATTAAAATCTCTTGAAAGATTTGGAAAAAATAGACATCATCAAATACGAAAATATGTTGTTCGACATTTTTCGTCAAGTCAAATTTATTAAATCTGAAAGTATTTCAGTCATAGTACAGTCAGACCTCCATATAATCAAAGACCACACACGAACGTGCATCGTTCAATACAATTTATTGTGTTAGATTTATTAAATCCAAAAGCATGAATACAGTCAAACCTCCACATAATCACTCTATATATATAAGAACGCCTCCTTATAAGACAATCGAGTTTCATGATATTCGGACAAAATTTAAAACTTAATTTCTTAATTGAAGTATTCGAACACTTGAGCTCGATAAGACTATCGACTTTTAATTCAGTTAATTCTGTTAACTCTGGACAATCACAAACAGATAAACTCTTAAGTTTAGACATAATTGGGAATAATTGGAATTCTGTTATTAATCGCTTAAGTTTTCACACTGCTGAACAATCAACCTAGTTAGAATAAGAGCGTCAACTACGAAATTATAGAAATTTTTTTTGTTCATTAGAAGGTGAAAACAACGTGAAGAAAGTTATCAAATTAAGTACGCGACTACGTGAATTTCTATTCATGCACGATGCCTAAACTGTATAGATAAATTTCACGTGATCATATAAACCGTGCCTACAATCAGGTGCTAGCCAAATTAACACAAGAACTTACATAATACGATGTATGCAAAAATCATAGCTTTCACACTTTTTTAACTGCAACTCTTAAAAAATTCACACAATTAACATGGAGTAAGTTTTTTTTAGGTCTATTTTAAAAGAAATTTTTATATGTATTTAGCATTTTCTAACCTTTAGTGATTTTTTTTAGTGAAATTCTTTTAAGCTTTGATTTAGCAAAAATAGTTCTCTGATTTCTCTTTGCTATAATGATACCAGCAATATCTGCATTCACAAGTTCCAATAATATAACTTTTGACCGACTATTTGACATTATCTCTATTCATAATAGAAAAACTTAGTCCCTTTTAACAATGACATAATTAATGTAATTAATATGTAATCACATATTTTTTATTGATCAAAATGTAAAGAAATTCAATTGAAACTTTTTTCTCAACCATTAATATGTTCGCTCATATCATGACAAGAGAATGAAATAGTCAACTTACCGATAGTGTGATTTCAATCCAAAACAATATATAATTTTGAGGGAAAGGTATTTGGTATTTGGTAACGAGCTACTAGGCTGTGAGCGAAAATCTGATGGAACATTCGCAAAGACAGCATGCTATTTTTTATATAGAATTATGTTCTATCCATATTTAGACCAGGAAATAAAGAATATATCTGCGAGAAAAGTTACTTTTTAGCCTTTTATTGCTATCACGAAAGGATAATGACGTGAAGATACCATTACTTAAACGCCTCTAAGTCGGCCTCCTTGCTATGAAGATTTTTTTTTTACCTGACTTATTACTAGTTGTATAAAAATAGAGTTTTTCTTTACGTTGTCACATATTCCTTATTAAGCCTTATTATTAAATTGGACGAAAATATGATGAAACAAATAATGGTGATGACATAAAGTAGATCAATGATGAATATTTATAATTTGAGGCCTCGTTGAGTATTTACAAGTAAGTCAAATTTTTAATTGATACTTGCTGGATTATTGTACAAAATTCCTCTGCGTTAGTAGTAATTTCTCTCATTGACAAATCACACTTTATTCATTTGGATCGGATAGTAACATTGTTGAATATCAATTACAGCAACAAATACGTTTAAGTAGAACAACTTTCAATGACCGGTTACCAATTTGTGAAAACTCAACCGCTACGTGTCTTACAGCCATTTCAAAATGGAAAGCATGAACTTAGTGAAATCAATAATAAGACGTAATGACCATATGATTTCATAAGCTCTAAGATATGATGGTCTAAAACTCACTTCTACAGATCTTGATCAAGCATTTTACCATGTATCTTCATGAAGATAATTTAAATATTTATTTTATGCTAAACCTTTGGACAATTGATTCAGTAATACGTGTTCAGGATCCTAATCATGCTAGGAAATTGCTGTTAAGACTGATCCTTATTTAGCGCAACATCAGTTCGATATTAGTTTTCTTTAACTAATTAATCACCGTTTAAGAATGATGGATGATATTGCAGCATATAGAACTTTTCTTCAAGAGAGAATCAATAAAGATTTGTAGCAAGTTAATCACCAGCCCTCCCAAACTAGAGCACAATAATAAGTGTTATCAAAGATGTCTCACCATCCTTCCCTAGCTCCCTCTATTTTAAACTATTAGCTAAAAGATAGAATGTACCCTCTGTCTGTATTCCCATCACACTGAAAACAATGTTTAAATAATAATAAAGAAATTCAATCAGGTATCGAAACGAACTCTTGATTTATCTTTTTAGTGAGCAATTTATTTTTATTAGAACTAAATATAATTTGATTTATTAATATTATTATATTTATATTATTAGGTAACTACGATTATAGTCAGAAACGAATTGGTGGATCCTCCTTTCTCATTCCACCTTCTATTAATCCTTAATCTTCTACCTCAATACTAACTTCTTTATCGTCATACCAACTACAACTCATATCACACACATTTCTTGTAATCCTTTTATACTTTTTTAAATTTTATTACATATATTTTTATATTCCTATAAAACTTTTTCACTCCTTTTTAATATTTGACGCCTCTAACAATTTCTAAAACAAGTAGAAATTGAAGAAAATAAAGTAGAAATTTTAAGAAGAGGATCAAGTATTAAAAACACATCGGAAAAAAATCAAATATCAGATGAAAGTGAGACACCTGAAAAAGTACCAAGTTCTGAAATACTAAATGAGAAGGAAGAAATTGAAGTCGAGTTTAGACTAATTTTGAAGATCTGGGATAAATAGTGATGAGGAGAAAGACATAAATATAGAGGGGTTTACGACTTCATCTGGTAATAACAATGTGTATCGATAATTTAACGTGTTTCAAATTACGCAAAAATTTATTTCAAATGATATTCAATTGGAATTAATTAATCTATACTATAACCTTATACAAATTATGGTAATTCAAAATTATCGTAAAATTTTAGTCAAATATGTGGTGCGTTCTTACCTTATTGAAAAATATTTGGTTGTACATTATTTGAATTTTTTTATTATTACAATTTATATGATATTAATTGTCAAGCAAGCATTTAAAATGATTATATTCAACTTGTATTATTACCACTTGGATTTTTGGTTCTCGATGATGGATTTTGGAATTAGCCATTTCATTCCTTTTTACATTCCTTTATATTTCCTTATATTTATACACAATTTATGTATCCAAATATCATTTGCAATATTGTATGGCGCTTTCTTGATCAATATGCCTCCACGGAGAGTTTTGTTAAACGAAAATTTTTTATTCGGATATAAGTTTGGAGCTGATGGCTCATGTTTTTTCAAATACCGTATGTTGTCAATACTCAATAGCATTCAAATCATGTATACTGAAAATATTATTATAAAAAATTATTTATTAATATAATCTTTTAAATTTTATTACAGACTATCTTGACATGACTGATGTCTGCTACAGCGACAACTGCTGTTATATTTTAGTTAAATTTCGGATCATTGGGCACATTTCAATAGGCCATTTAGGAAAGATTGTTGATATTTGATATCTACTGGTGAATTGTCAACCATCAAATTTCGGTGTAGTGTGTGCAATTTGAAAGTTTCATTTATCTTACAATGGAATAAGATCCAGTTTGGTTTTTTTAATTGCCGATGTGTAAATCCTTATTTTCTGGAGCGAAGAGAAGGGCTATCTCTGGAGACAAGTTTGTTTATCCCCTGCAATGCGTCCTTTCACAAAAATCATCACTATTTCCTTTTTTTTAAATCCTCAAATCATGTTATTTCCTTTTTTTTTTATAACGAACATGCATATCGATGGACTTTGATGGTTTCCCATTTTCCTAGTTTCTATTTCGGCTTACTAGAAAAAAAAATTTTGATACGTGATGTAATTTTCGACATAGACTTGTGTACATTAATATCACTTAAAACAATTTTTGTACTTTGAGGATATATTATAATTCTTAGGACTGAGGTTGAAAAACTTGTGAGTTTGGGAGATGTGTCGAGTGGACATTTGAGAATTTTATGTAGAAGGCTGTTAGAAACAAATTACCAATCCTTTGAAATCAAAGTAAAGTCGGTACGAATTGCATTTAAATATTTTTATTTGATATTATTATAGAATATTCTAATTACTACTTTTAAAAAGTATTTTGGAGAGTAGTCCTTCGTTATCAAAATTACTCCCAACACTACATGAATTGCAAAAAAAATAATTGTAATGGAAAAAAAGAAAAGGATAAAGCAAAATCTTAAGATCACGATATACACGTTCTCAAACGAGATATATTGGGGATCATAAAGCAATAATAGAACTAACACACACAAATCTTTAGAAGTACAGATGGATGTGGGAGAAATTAAATGTTTATTGTCCAATCTATAAAAGATTTAAGAGTCAAAGTTTGAATATTAAGGATGAATAGATATAAGATGTACTTAGTTAAATTTCCATTTGATTCATTGGTTGTGTATCGTAGAATATGAAGATTAGTGAATAAATTGATTTATTATTTACTTACTGTATATATCGCCTAATTACTAGAACAAAATTTTATTTTCAAAATTTTTTTGTTATCTTATGCAGTAGATGTTTATATAATGTTAAAAAATCATTAATCGAGCGCATACTATTTTTTTTAAAAAAAAATTCAATATATTTAATATATTGCAAATTAATAAATTAATTAAATTAATGCATAAATACTATCCATAATATTCGAACGGTAAAACCTTAGAAAATAAACTAATTAATTTTTGAAGGCTTACTTTTTATTGGTTGATTTTCATTGTTAGATTTGTATATAATAGGTATATAAAAAAATTGTATTTCATTTATTAACTGTTTTAAATAAAATGTACATTTATTCTGCTCTCTTATTTATAAAAAAAAAGAATTTAACCAACATATTTTAATAAAAATAAAATAAAATAAAAAATCAATTATAAAAAAAAAAATAAATCATTATATTAATTTAATAAAAAGTAAATTTTGCTCCTATTTAAATCCTTTTTATGATTTGTTGCAGATGGAGGACGTGGAGGCGGTTCTTTTGGAAAGGGGATGTTCAATTTAAAGTTAAATGTACCACTTCTCAATAAATAAATTTCATAAACGCGATCAGCTATCTCTTTATATACATTCTTTTCCTCAAGTGTTGCATTGTTCCATAATATACTTGCTGCTTTGCAAATTACACGCATATTATGGTTTCCTTTACAATTTGATTCTTTGTATACATTCCTTCTGCATATCAGAAATGAATTAAAAGGCTTTTTTTTGGAATCAATTGGAGGAACGAATGACTCTGGATTATTAAATAATGGCGGGAAAATGTTTCTTCTGTTCAATTTGTTCATTAATGTAACGGCCAAATTTTCCACCGGAATTACACCTTTTGACATGTTTATTAAAATTAGAGAAAATGTTTTTGAAATTTTAATTTTTTTTCTTTTTTGGATAAAAAAAAAAAAGAGGTAATATTTCTTTTTTTTTGCAAAACATGAAATAAATTTAAGCGCTTATATATGTTTTTTTTTACATTAAATGATTTGTAGGATTTATAACTCCGTCTACGTGTATTATGATTTGGCTGATTTTGATTAGATGAAAAATTGCATGATTATAAACTTTAAACAGTAACCAAAAATGGTTATTCATTCCAAAAACAAAAAATTCTTTTGTTGCCGATCCTAAAGAAATATAGAAAATACTTTTTTAAAAGTTACAATTCTAGATTTATTTAACGTAGCTGTTGTTATTGCATGATGCATTCATAAAATGTCCTCACCTCATTTGTGAATATTGAATCCTTTCATAAAATCACCCTATAATATTAGAGATTTATGAGATACCTTTCCTAATTGTTGATATACATTCAAATTTCAAAAACAATTGATAAGCTCTGCAGATCCTGCGTAACATGATCTTTGGTTGAGACCAATCACTTGACATTTCCTTTTTCGCGTTTTTAACAAACTTGATGGAAAAAAAGGTTCCATAAGTTTGTTCCAAACATCTAAACAATTACGCAACAAAAAAATGCAGTGAAACAATATGACTATTGGGGGCTTATTTAATGAGACTTTTTTAAGATATGAAATTCTGTAAAAAGAACGTTAAAAAAACAAATATTCTTTTTTTTTTCTTTCGTTATTGTTGTTATTGTTAAAAAATATGTTATTTAATTAAATGAGTAGATGTGATTTATTAAAAAATATTCCATTTTAATGCATGTTGGCGTTTTAAAATAAAAATAAATATTTTTAAAATATTTTTATTAAAAGAAAATATTAAAAATGGTCAATATGAACAAATTTAGATAAATTATTTCTTTTTATTTCCTTAAAAAAATTTAAATACTGTAAAAATAGCTCGAGTAGATAGTTAAGTAATATGATCATGGTCACGAAATCAAGCCGGAGTTTATGACAATTTTAAAAAATATGATTTAAATAAACTCTATTATAATTATAGCTTATGCAGTTATAACGAAATTTGTATTTATTTTATTTATTTTGTATTTTGAAATTATATAATATACTGTATATAACTGCTGATCCATGAGATATGTGGTCAATAATTTCTGTCATCTATCAAACAAATAAATATACGAGTTTCGCATGATATGATCAATTCAAAATTTTTGATACATTAACGAAAGAAAGATTTGGGTATAAAAGAATTTAAAAAAGTTAGAAAGTAACTATAGAAGAAAAAATTGCCGTACTTAAACCGTCTGTATTTTGACATTATATGAAATTCTTATGAATAGTTGCTTTCTTTAATTGAAGATTTAACATTTTAAAAAGAATCGTATGTTACATATATATGAACTTTTTATCGCTTAGTTTTAAAATTTATTTAAATAATGATTATAGGTGACTACAGAACATTCGTATATACTCGATATAAAACAGGTATATACAGTACAGTATTTTGCGATTTAAAAGGATACAAATAAAATATTTCATATACTTTCGGCATAATAATAATTACTTTTGAAACTTTGGTAATTGGTACAGCGATAAAATTTATTACGCAGCTGTTAAAGAACTTGGAACGAATTATGCTGCGCTCTGTACATTATGAAATCAGCTGTAAAGACTCCGGTCTCACTGGATATCAGTGTAGGACCGCAGTCTTCAGGTCCTTTTATCACATAATGGTTTAAACCGTGTTTAAATGCCAAAATTGTTTTAGACCTAAATTCTCCCTTCCCACACTTAGTCAAATATGGTCAACCTGTACGACCGAAAAATTGTTTAACAGTAATTCACGATATGATGAATACTCATCATATTAATCATTTCTTTTGCATAAATTTTTTACTAATAATTCTATTTTTTCGAAGTACCTATATCGTCATTATATGCCACTGATCAAATCGATCATACAATTATGTAATAGCTGATCACACGGCAGGTCTGTGTGATGTGATGGGGATTTTCTCACATGTACTAGGTATACTAGGCTTTGGTATTTTTTTCCCAAATAAGGCTTTGGTTTTTGCTCTTGTCCTCACTTACACCAGTTTCACCAGTTTGCACCAATAAAATTTCGCAAAAGTACTATATAAGAAATATGTCTATCACTTTACTCTGTCTCGTCAAAGGAAATACACTCGCGAACGCCTTTCCTGTTGATATATTATTAAGGCAGAAAACAAAATGACTTTGCTTGTGACGCAGACAAGCTCAAGCTATGGAAAAAGGAAATTCGTGACGATCAGGACGATCTTTTAAGTAATCTCTCACTACAAAACTCCTTGCAACAAGAGAAATAGGAGACTACTGGATTGAGAAACCGTCTAAGAGGCATATTCACGTCATAGTTGAGTCACCCGGAATTTTTGACCAGATTCGCGAAAGATTCAAGAAGGTTGTCATTTCAACTATCTACAAGGTTATTATTTTTGATCTTTTATTTACTTATTTCTTTTAAATAAGGTTATGCTAAGATGGTTAATATATGTGAAAAGGCATGTGGTCCATCGACTGGAGGCGTTCCTTCTGTCTTTGCGGAAAATCAAAGAATAAACTCCACAATATTTATGGGCAGACCCATTGATCAAACCGGTCCTCCTATTGTTCTCTTCCATGATGACTTTGGCCAATTTATTAACGATTTTGCAATTTAATAATCCAACATAATGTGTTTTCAATCGCTCAGAAACTAATGGCCACTGCATCACAATTTTTCAACGATGAAAATGCTCGTAATCAAACTATGAAAACGGAGCTGGGAAGTCTCTTTGGAGAACCCTTAGTGTCTGACATATGGCATAGATAAAAATAAAAAATCTAGTGATGGCGTCTTGGTAACTTATGACGGGGTTCAAATTTGCTGTCGGTTAATATTTGAAGGGAAAAAAGGAACTGTGTGCGACTAATACTGAGCAGACTAGCTTATATTATCACGGTTATTGGTCCCAGATCGATGTATGTGATTTTTCAATGGTTTGTTATTACTTATTATCTTATTATTCCGTTAAACTTACATCTTTTTTTTTTTTTTGTGGCATTTTCTTTAATGCTTGCTAATAAACAGTCCAAAAAGATCGGAGACCAGTGCTGTTGTCCCTCATATATGTTGGTCGTTGCAGGGCCTTGGATATTTGGATTTGCCTTTTCGGAGGTATCTATATCGAGTAATAATAGATGTCATATGATGTTGACCTTCTAAACGGATTCACTATGATTGTTATGGATTATATTGATGAAGACCCGTTAGCAAAACAAAAAATCACCAGTATGTCATATAACGCTCGCAAAACCATCATGAAGAATGTGGGACAACACGGCCTTGCATGAACAAAATATTGTGTTTGGTGATCTTCATCGCCCGAATATTATAGTCACCCCAAAAGGAGCGATTCTTGTAGATTTTGAATTGTGCGAAAGATATGATATTGATCGTTACCCTGTTACAATGAGTACTGAAATATCTTGGCCCCAAGGTGCAAATCCTGGTGCTTTACTCATGCAAGTGCATGATGGTAATTGGCTTCAGGTGTTAAAGCATGATCTAAATTTATAATTAGGAAAAAAAATCAATCTATTGAAAGTTTTTATTTATATTAGCATCTATGAAGGTATAGCAAACAATGTAATTAATAAATTTCGGCTATTGGTTATGTTGCATTTGATGCGCTCATATGAAGTAAAATTATGAAGATATGTATTGCTGTTGTATTAAATAAAGTTTTCTAGACGCTAAATAGACGCTTATAGTTTATTGTGATTTTTTACTGTATGCAGTGCAACTGATCTGAAATTAATGTTCGGTTCATTATTCGTGCTGAAATGATTACCGTATGATTCAGAGGATTAAATCCTTTTCCGCGATGATATCAAAATTAAGCCAAGATGTATACTGTAAATATTTTACTGCGCCACTCACATGACATTGTGACGCACATTCTCTAATAATAAAATTTATAGCTGTATATTCATTTAATAAAGTTCTGCCTGATATAAGGACTTTATTTTAAAAATATATTTATGAAAATAAACTTTATAAACCGTAATCTGCATACATTTCTTTGCACTTACAAACATTAATGTATACTAACCCACAGATCGATAACTGATTGCATTTCAGGGATGTTGCAATTGAACAAATTGAACATTATATTGAGATTAAGTGTACTAAATGGCAGACATTGAAGAGATCATTAATTTATATGTGGAAATCCCTTCTCATGAGAAATATTCAGGTCTTCTTAAACAACTGCCCAATCAATAATAAATGAGACATGGAAATGTTTAACAACCGAAAGCGCAATCCACTCTCCGCTATTGATGCCAGCTATGAAGATCATGTAGAGGCAATAGATACTATAAGAAAAAAGATCGAAGCAAATACCATCTCCGAAGGAACTAATACCTTGTCTCGGCTAGATGGATTTGAGAAGCAGTTAGAGGAACGTGAAGCTTTACTTAAACAGAAGGAAAATAATATTAAGAATACTATTGAGGCCCAGGTTGGTGAGGAATGCAAACGTCTAAAAGATGAATAGGATGCTCTTAAGGTTCGCCTAGAGAGTGAATATATTAAATGCTTTGTAGATATGAAACAAACGACATATTCATTTAAGCATCAACTAGAAGACCAGCATAATTCTCGCTCTGCTGACTTGGAGAGGCAATACAAATCTAGGATTTCCACTTTAGAAAAAGCCCTTCTTGAAATAAATGGATAATCCCCAGAAACGTATCACTTTATGATCAAATAGGAGTTGTATTAAAATAAAATTTTATGCGCTTTTGCTGTAATGCAAACATTTTGAAAATGCTCATTGAACTAGAATTTCCTGAATTCCTGGTTATAGATAAATAATTAATCCTTTCAAAGCAATTAAATGAAAGGCTCCTTTGATTGACTTATTGAGAGTAAGAAGTGTATTTTAATTAAATTTTACGAGAGTAATAAAAAGAATGGCCTAATAGAGTTCAAAGGATTTTTTTTTTTTTAATTGGTTAAAACTTTCATTAAGATACGGTGTAGGATAACATCTGCAAGTTTTTAATAAGTACCTTCAAGAATAAATCTTGAATAGAATCGAAAAATAATTAGAAATATAATCATTTACTAGGAGAAGTAAAAAATTGTTATCGGATAATAAAATATACTATATCATTTTTATATGGTTATCTGTTATCATGAAATCTAATCCTCTTTTCATATTAATCATTTCAATCATCTTTAGCCTAATAGCTCTTATATCGCTTATAATTCTCTCAATATTATTATGTATTGATTAGATGTAATATATTGTATATATAGGTAAAACAGTATGGATGCAAAACAAATTGGACAGAGGTACAATTGGAATGGACTCAATTATACGAGCCATAGCAATTTAACTGGAGTGAATGCGACGAAGGTTATTTTGATTGGAATGGAACAAGTGCTCATCGGGGCTTCTCTTTGAATTTACCTGATGATAAAAATATAACAACTTTTTACCTTACTTTTTACCTCGTTTTTTAAGATAAATGACGCGGATCATTTGATAATACTCAGGATATCTGTTGACACTCTCATGGTCACCTTGGTGACTGGACAGTATACCCTTGTCGGCTTGTCCTTAATTTTTCAATTTATTCATGGATATACAAAAGTGTGACGTCTTATATAAATGTCATTTTTAAATCATCGCATAATTAAATTTTATAACTTTATGAAATTTATAATAAACTTGACATACAGTATATCATTCATTTTTTATATTTATTTTTTTTTAGTATAAATGTGTCCTAACATTATTCAAGCATGTTGGCTACGTACAAGAAATATTCTTCTTATGCATGATACTCCATTAAGGATAGGAAAAGAAGGGGAATTTTTAAGTTATTAAGACTGAGGAGAAAGAAATTAAAGTTAAAAGGGAATTTGTAGAGAATGAATTTGAAGATATTAAGACTGAAGAAAAAGAAATTAAAGTTAAAAGGGAATTTGGTGAGGAAATTAAAAAGAAAATAAAAGATAACGTATGAAAACGATTAATGATAAAAATTATTAAGGAATCAAGCGTGAAAAAAAATGATATGAAAGATTTGCCAAGATAAAACAAAGAAGGTTGGAAACGAGTTGTTTAATAAATTATTTAAATTCAAGTAATTTTTAAACAGCCTATTAATACAAGATATTGTTTCTTGTTCATAATTGTCGAATTGTTCATCAACGTTATCATCGTAATTTGTAAGTCATGTGATAATATAAATAATTTTTATATATTCCACGATCGTTTATAATTAAATAAAAAATTTTTAACGAAACGATAAACAAAAGCGACAAAGTACAATCAAATGCATCGATTTATTTAATATTAAATCAATTAATTTACAAAAAGTACAATAAAGAAATGTTTTAATAATTCCACCCTATAAGAAATATGTATACGGAAAGGATACATTTTGTGTACGTTTCTATAGATTCCGTATACAATTCATTTTTGAAACTTAATATTTTAGAAGATAATTTTACAAAAATCCCGTATCATAACACGAGATTACGTGATTGTTATTGTTTTGTTATGAACTTATGATACGTTTTTTATACAAACCCTTACTTTGATGAGTTTGATCTTCCGATCTTCCTTTCTGTCTTTTCTTTCCTTTCTCTTTTCTCTTGTCTTATTTTTGTTATTTTTTCTAATCTTCTTTCTTCGTCACCCCCCTTTTAAAAAAAAATTTTTTCTTGTACCTCACTTTAAAAAAATTTTTTTTTCGTCACTCCTTTAAAAAAAAAATTTTTTTGATTTATTCTTTTATTCCCACTCTTCTTTTTTTTAAAAAAAATTTTCTTCTTTCTATTTCTATTTCCTTTTCATAAAAAATTTTTTATTTTTCTAACTTTGACGTCCTCCCTTTAAAAAAAAAAATTTTTTTAACTTTCCTAACTTCGTTCCCCTCTTTTTAAAAAAATTTTTTTTTTGATTTATTCTTTATTCCCCTTTCTTTTTTATTTGTATTTATCCCTTTTTTTATTTCATAGGCCAGCCGATTTTTTTTATGAGAAGATTCAGTTTCTTTTTTCTTTTTTGTAGATCAGTTTGGGAGTCTTTCCTTTTTGTTTCTTTTTTTTTGTAAGTTGGGTTTAGATTCTTTTCTTTTTGTAGGTTGTTTCAGTTTTGTTGCTTCAGAGTCTTCTTTTTTTGTAGGTCAGTTTTGGATTTATTTTGTTGTTCTGGTTTCTTTTTCATCAGACGCTTCATAATTCTTTTCATTTATGTAGGTCAGACATTCTGGAGTTCTCTTTCTTTTTTTGTAGGAATGCTGACCTTTGGTGACTTGGACGATTGCAGATATTATATGAAGGGGGGTTTTGTTTCCAATTAAGTTAGACGTTCTTATGTTTCTTTTTTTTTGTTTTTTTAGGTTGTTTGACTCCAAATGAACCTGAACTTATAGATAATTTTGGTTGCAATAGGTGGTTTTAATAAGGAGGGATTTTTCATAATGTATTTGTATTTTGTTTATTTTTTATTTAATTTAATAAAGTAAAATTAGATTTATTTAAATATAATTATAGTAAACTGTATTACAATTTGTAAATTCAGTGACCAAATCGTATAAATTTCGTGATAAAATCAGTGATCAAATCATGTAAATTCCATATGAATCCCGTGCAAATTCCGTATCCAAACCATATTTTTAGTGATACGGGGTCTCTACAATGATTGCTAGAATGTTGATCAAAGTTTCATCATTTTGGATTATAAGAATATAACTCTTTTGCTACGAGATTGATGAAAAAGTTTCAATCTATAAGAACCAAAAATAAATTAAAAAATTTAGCCAGATAGACTTTGGCAATGGCTGAAAATAAAATATGATTAATAAGACATATTAAACTTTTTCATCAATTAGCAAAAAAAAATTATTTAACCGGATTACCGGAACTGGGTTAGAAAAAATTTTGAAAAAAAATTTCGGTTTAAAAAAAAAGCCAAACTGATAAAAGATGAGTGAAAAAAAACTCAAACCAATTATAAAGGGGTTTGGTTTTAAAAAACCAAACTGAAAAAGGAATGTATGAAAAAAAAGAAAATAATTTTTTTTGTTTTAAAAACAAAGCCAAAAAAAAGGGCTAAAAAAACAGGATGATTCAAGATGTGAGATCGTCGGTTAGATAATAATAACTGCATGTAATTTTTATTACTCAATATTAAAGGATTTCAAATTAAGTAATGTGAAAAAATTAATAAAAATGAAATAATTGATTTATTTATTACCGGTAAAAATAAATCATTTAATAATAGAGGTTGAAGTAAATGTAGTTAAGCAGCACATGTTTTTTAATATTCTATTATAACTCTGATCTTATAAATAACGTTAGCTGTATTGCGAAACTTCAGTATAACAAATTATAAATAAAGTCAAAAATAAATTTAACCATAAAATAATTTATTTGGGATCCTTTGTTTGTCAGCGTTTTTGATAATTATTCGATAATCCTTCATATAACAGGATTAAATTTATCAGATTCTTCTCAATAATCATCATTATTAAATGATTTGTTAGCTTATACTCCCGGTAAAAAGTATCCGATCACCCGTAAACCAATGATATGTTACGCAAACATACTTTGCCTTTATATTAAATTTGATCCTCAAGTTGAATTACATTTACTCAAAATTATTTAAACAAAAGAAGGTGGAGCTTGATAATAATTACAAAAAAAGGATTAGCACTTTGTAAAAAAGTAATAATTTTCGTGACGTATGTACTTAAGATAAAGTCTTTTTAATAGAGCCCGTAAGTTACATTTAAAATCACATGATTTAAAGCATGTGATATTTGCATTTGTGCTGATACTTTTACGTTGAAATTTAAAAAAATATTAACTGTAATTTATAAAAAAATGATGCCGCGAAAATTAAAATTTTTCTTTTTTAGAATGAAGATATACCCAAATTTTTAAAGTGATGGGATACTTTATTGTATTACTGTAAATTAAAAACTTTCAAGCAAAAATAAAAAAAATATTTTTAATCCCGTTATACTACAAACCCGATGTTCACAATTATAATTCCGAGTTTCCGACACTTATTTTTTAGATGTAATAATTTGTAATACTTTGTAATTATTACTGTAATATTTTTATTGATATGCAATGGAGAACTAATGTTACCGACAATCATTTCACCGACAAATTATCTCACCGACAAGGAATTTCGGATTTAGAGTGGGTTAGGATAAGGTTAGAGGATTTCAAAACTGTCGGTGAAATTACTGTCGGTGAAATGGTTGTCGGTGAAACGTCTGTCGGTGAGATAATTGTCGGTGAAATGATTGTCGGTGAAATGAGCAAGATCCGTTGTTTTATTTAAAAGTTAATAATGATTAAAATTCTGATATTCAGGATTTCGTAGTAAATCCTTTTTAAATAATTAAATAATTGAATTCTTTAAGAAACGAAAGTAAAATATAATATAAAAAGTCCAAGAATTCAATAAAATGTAGTAGTACATGAAAATTATAAAATAATAATTGAAAGTAATATATAAATTTGACATTAGTTAGAATATACTTTAACAAATGAATTTTATTTTTATTGAAAGAGAATTTTGTATTGACAAGGAACATGATTCTATTTTTGTAATTACTGTATTAACATTATAGTAGTTATTTATGGGTTTCAAAATACAGAACCAATTGTCAAATATCATAGTTGATTGTTACTGTATTTTGCGGTAAGCAAGCACCCCTGGCCAAAATTATGAGGATCTTGGCCGGAATCAAGTGCAAAAAAGGTGTGCTTATATACCGCAAAATACAGTAATAACCGGCGACGTGATTTTTCATCGATTTTTTATAGATTTGGTTATTGTTGCTTAATTTCTTATTTTATTTTATTTTTTTTATGTACACAGTGTATATTAATATTTTTTATTGTATTATTTTAATAAATTTTATTGTACATTTATTGTTAAATTGGATTGAGAATTTCAGCCGGGTTGTAATACAAATTTGGCTGGTTACTTTTTAGGCCTATTTGTATAACAACGTAACCTTAATTGGCAAGTATATGTTGATCAAACTTGTGATATTGATATTTGACGATGCAAATTTATCACGGATCATTATTATATAACACTTAAAAATCAAAAGCCGTTTAAGGGATAATTAATTTGTAAAACCAATTCCCCGAAATTTATTAGTGGTTCGGAGACGGATCACGAATTAATTAACCTCGGGAAAAGGTATATTCGGGAAAATGCCATTCATTGCTATTATTATCTAATTGATGATCAATCAAATCATGAGGATACCATGATTGTATAAAGATCAGCAAAGGTAATAAAAAAATTAATTACCACATGCAATTGACGATCGCACATCTTGAATCAAATTAGTTCTGATCATAAAGATTTGCAGGTTACTAAAAAATATAAATATACCCGAAAAAAAAAATGGAGCTGAACAATAAAAAAAAGTATACATACCGTAACGCGGCAGCGTCTACAAAAAACAAACACTAATCTAAGCCTAAGCTAAATATAACTTTGTATAATTAGAAACAATATGATGATTTTTAAACTACTTGAAAATTTTGATTTTGGTTTATTGTTAATTACGATATTAATAACGTGTGTGGCACATTATTATTACAAATACTTTACCCGTGTCAATCCTTTACCTGATCCATTTCCATTCCCATTCATTGGATATTTTCCTTACATTTATTGGTTTAATAGAGATTACAATAAGTTTTACAGTTATTGTAACAAGAAATATGGTGACTTATATGAGATTTATGGTAGTATGCGACCTATAGTTTTATGTCGAGGGGAATATCTTAATGATTTTTTATCAAAAAATACACATGAGATAAGATTTCGCAATTGCAAAGGAGCAGAAGAATTGGGATTTGCAGGAAAAGGATTAATGTTAAATAGTGATTATAAATCATGGACGTTTAACCATCATCTTTTTAATCAAGCTATTTTGTCACCGAAATTTACTGATGAAGCTATTGATCATACAAACAAACTTTTCAATGAATTAGAAATTTATTGGAGTAAGTTATTTCTTAAAGAAGAAATTATTAAAGAAAATAGAAATAAGTTAAATTTTTCTGAATGGTTTTATCATTACACAAATGATATTGTTATTAACTTGTTAACAGGCAAAAGATCTTATTCAATGGCAGCTTATTTTGATACTCTCAGTAATGAAAAATCTGATCATCAATCTGCAAGAGTCATAAATTCTGTGAAATTATTTCAAGCACTTCGTAAGCTTTCTTATGTAATATTCAATATTTTTCGTAACTTCTCCTATCATACAACATTATGTTCCATTTGTTAAAAAGAAAGCAAATGATGTACTTCAAGGCATGGAATTTATTAATCAAAAACTGAATGCAATTATTAAGAGTCGTAGACAAGAAATTGAAGAGAAACCATTGGATGAACACTTACCGCATGATATGTTGACATCAATGATTATCAAAAATACACTTCGTGATGATAATTATATTGAAACTGGTGAAGCGACGAGACCTATGACTGATACCGAAATTCGTGTTAATATACTTGATGGAATTTTTACTGGAACTTATAAAGTAAGTAAACCTTTAGAGAAATTTTATGTTTAGGTTTAATTTTAATCATTAAATGCAATGTGCCTTAACTTGAAATTAATTTCAAATATAGATTGGGAATATGCTTTCATTCATTGTCTATTATATTGCACATAATCCAGATGTAAAAAAGAAAATGCTAAAAGAAATTGATAGTATATTTCAAGACGATAAAATGCGACCAATTACTAAAGATGATTTTTATAGTTTAAGTTACTGTGAAGCAATTGTAAAGGAAGTAGCTCGCATTCATCCAGTAATACACTTACTTACAAGATATATTGATAAACCTAACAAAGTAGCAGAATATCATTGGCCAGCTGATTCATTGTTTCTAATTAATGTTAAATCTGTTCATAATAATGATGATTATTGGGAAGAGCCTAATAAATTTAACCCTGATAGATGGATAGTTAAAAATTTTGAGCCAAAGAAGGGTTCTTTTCTTATGTTTGGTGGAGGATTAAGATTATGTCCAGGAAGAAAGTTGGCAACAATTGAATTAGTTTGTTTGATAGCTTTATTGTTTAGAAAATATGAAATCGATTTAGTAGATATGAATACTCCTATCAAAACTACAAACAGTGGTACTATGGTTCTATGTGTCGATTTATTAGTTGAAATTAAACCAAGAAATTGATTTCTTATATTTAAGGATATAATATATTTATAATTTATTTGATGGGAAATAGAGATATCAGTCAAAGACCGATGGATATCCCCAACTAATAAGTAAGATCATTAGGAGTACTGCAATATCCAATAGGATTAATGCTACTAATACTGATTTTAATATTGGTGGATATCTCATTCGGAATATTTTATATTGAATATTTTATTGAAATTCATTAAATAATCAAGCATAGACTAAATAACTAAAAATAATATAGTGTTTAAAGTATATTCATAAGTCAGAAATTATAAACTAATAAAATTATGATATATTAATAAATTTATCAAGATTTGTCTACTTTGCAGAAATAAAAAGTTGTTTTAATGGCTCCCTTTCTAAATTTTTTAATGAATTTTAATTCTTCTTTTTTATATCAAATTTATTCTCTTGCTTAAAAAAAAAAAAAAAATTTTTTTCTTTGATCTAAATTGAATACTAGACAGTAGTCATCTTTATTACTAATTTAAAGAAAAAATTATTGAATATTCATTTTCCGCCTAATGATTTTTAGAAGTTCATATACCTATTATATATTCTGATTTGTAATTTTGCTGTGCAACAATGAGGCTTGATGATCGACATAAATTCCGGACATGCAGCCAAAATTATGTGCAGATCGGCATATATTCATGCAATGCATGACATATATATCCGTTAATGAAAAAAAAAGAAAAAAAAAGATATTTGCATTATCTTTTCAGTTAGAGAGAATTTTGACCTAATTGGATAATAATGTCCTATAAAGGTAAAAATCATATATAGCATGAACATTTAATATAATTAGTATTCTTAAACTTATAAACAACTTGCAATAAGTTTCAAGTAGCACCAAGGAATCTGAAGGTAAATATAATATATTAAACGAGCTGAGACATCAAAAATTTTTATTTAATTATTAAATAAAAATTATTTGTAAATAATTTAAATAGTAATATACATATACAATTTAAACTAACTATATTGTGTAAATAATTTAGCTCGTAAGTTTATTAATAGATATATAATTGAATAACAATGGAGTTACTTATTTTTGTTATACCCATATAACTAAATAATTCGTTATTAATACTATAGTTTGTAAGTTAAATAGTTCTTTACTTAATTATTTTACTTAATATTCAAATAACTGACTAAATTCTTTGTTTAAATAACTATTTAATAATTAATTATATTACAGACAGTAAGTTTCAATATTTAAAAATTATATTTATTTGTTTAATAATTTATAATAACTCAGCTAATTATATTCTTAATTTAAATAATTAGATTGTAAGTGTTTTATTTAATTAACAGTAAATACTTTTGTATTATATTTATATCTAACCAATTAATAATTAATACAGGGTGTAAGTTATATGCATGAATTTATATTTCTATTATTTATATAAGCTAACTAAACTATATTTACAAAATTATTGGTAATCTCTTTTAGTTAGTAAGTTATAAGTTATTTATTGATTCTTCTATACTTATTTATATGATATTTGCATAATTTAAACTAACTAATTCTATGTATTTAATAATGTAGAGCGTAAGTTAATTATTTAACTCTACATATAATTTAAACTAACTAAATTATTAATTAAAAAATTATTTATAATATAGGAAGTGAGTTATTTATTATTCTATTATACATATTTATATAATATTTACATATAACTTAAACTAACTAACTTCTTTATTTAAAAAATTATTATGTAATTTCTTTTAGCTGGTAAGTTATGAGTTATTTGATCCACGTTTATATAATACTTACTTGTAATTTAAACTAACTAAATTCTTTATTTAATAATAATATAGAGAGTACGTCATTATTTATTCTATTGTTACATATTTATATAATATTCACATATAATTAAGCTAACTAAATTCTCTTAAAAAAATTACTTAATAATAGAGAGTAAGTTGTTTATTTAATTCTATTACATATTTTATATAACATTTACTTATAATTTAAACTAACTAAATTCTTTATTTTAATATATAGAGTGTAAGTTTTTTATTTAATTCTATTATTATGTATTTGTATAATCTTTACATATAATATAAACTAATTAAATTCTTTATTTAAAAAATATAGTTCGTAAGTTATTCATTTAGTTCTGATATTATTTACATATGATTTAAACTAATTAAATTCTTCATTTAAAATTATTTAATAATATAGAGAGTAAGTATTTAATCCTATTATTACTTATTTATTTAATATTTATAATAATTTAAACTAATTAAATTCTTTATTTAACAAAATATATAATATTATAGATAGTAAGTTATTTATTTAATTCTATTATTATTTATATAATATTTACTTATAATTTAAACTAACTAAATCCTTTATTTAAAAATAATTAAATAATATAGTTCGTAAGTTATTTATTTAATTCTATTATTACATATTTATATAATATTTAAGCTAACTAATTCTTTATTCTTATTAAAATAGGGAGTAAGTTATTTATTTAATTCTATTATTATATGGTTATATAATATTTACATATAATTTGAACTAACTAATTCTTTATTAAAAAAATGATATAATAATAGAGAGTAAGTTATTTAATTCATTCTATTATTACATATTTATATAATATTTACATATAATTAAACTAACTAAATTTTTTATTTTTTAATAATATAGCATGTAAATTATTTATTTAATTCTATTATTGCTTATTTATGTAATATTTACTTATAATTTAAACTAACTTTTATTAAAATTATTTAATAATATAGGGAGTAAGCTATTTCATTCTATTACAAGTATAACATATTTATATAATAATATTTAAGTATAATTTAAACTAACTAAATTCTTTATTTAAAAAATTGGTTAATAATATAGATAGTAAGTTATTTATTTAATTCTATTATTATTACATCTTATATAATATTTACATGTAATTTATACTAACTAAATTCTTTAATTAAACAATATAGAGTGTAAGTTATTTAATTAAGGGTTTGAAATTTATACGCAGGTGCGTAGCAACGCACCTCCTTATATTATATGTAAAAGTCAAAATTTGTATTCTAACCCTTTTTAGTCTTATAAGTAAAATTGTAGAGCAGGCAAAAATACATATGGGGATGTGTACTTTAAAAGTTTTATAATAAGTACATAAGGTTTGCGCTGCATTTATTCAAAAAAAACGGAATTTATGATATCACGTGATCTTTAATTATTGGTGCAACGGCTTGCGTAAAATTATTATTTCCTTTAATTAATTCTATTACATATTTATATAATATTTGCTTATAACCTATCTATTTATTAAAAAATTATTTTGTAGCTGGTAAGTTATAAGCTATTTAATTGATTCTATTATTACATATCATATTCATATATAATTTAAACTAACTAAATTCTTTAATTAATAATATAGCTCGTAAGTTATTTATTTAATTCTATTATTAAATATTTATATAACATTTATAAATAATTTAAATTAACTAAATTTCTTTATTTCTTTATTTAAAAAATTATTTAATATAAATAGTTCGTAAGTTATTCATTTAATTGCCGGTCCGTCACTCAACGGTACAAAATTAATTTGTAGATCCGGCGCAGATTTTATATGAATTACGTTAATTGGCATATTTTGATGTCGATTTTGTCCCACAAGGTCACGTTTAAATGTAACGATGACTCACCAATCAATAACATTAAACGTGAATAAGCCACAAAAAAAATTTTTTTATCGTTCGATATAGAATTTAACAAGTTTACCTTGGAGGAAGTCACCATTCCACCTTATATTTTAGCTAAGATAAGATTTTTTATACACGAATTTTGCAAATTTTACGAGGTTTTTTTTTACACTATTGAAAAATATATATTATTTTTTTACCAAATTAACAAAATAACAAAAAAAAAAATATATTTTTTTATTTTTCTTTTTTAGTTTTTTTTTGGCACACCTTGATCCTACCGGTTTTGGAAAACACACCCAGGTAATGTAATACCTTTTTCTAGCAAATTTTTGAAGTATTTATGTTGTTGTGACGTGTTTTTAAGATAGTGCAAACACCATTCTAGAGCAATAGTATTTAATATATAAAAGTCCGTCGAAATTAATTATAGATTGCCGATCATTTTGTACCGTTGAGTGGTGGACCGGCAATTAATTCTATATTACTTACGTATAATTTAAACTAACTAAATTCTTTATATTCAAAAATTATTATTTAATAATATAGAGTGTAAGTTATTTATTTAATTCTATTGGTATTTGCATATAATTTAACTAACTAAATTCTTTATTTTCTACATAATATAGTTCGTAAGTTATTTATTTAATTCTATTATTATTTAAATATAATTTCAACTAACTAAATTCTTTATTTAAAAAATTATTTAATAATATAGAGTGTAAGTTATTTTAATTTATTCTATTATTACACATAAGTATTTGCATATAATCTAATTAACTAAATTCTTTATTTAAAAAATTATTTTATAATTTCTTTTAGGGCGTAAGTTATAAGTTATTTATTCAATTTTTATTATAATACTTGCAACTAACTAAATTCTTTATTTAAAAAATTATTTAATAATATAGAGAGTAAGTTATTTATTTAATTCTATTATTACTTATTGTGATAATTATATATAATTTAAACTAACTAATTTCTTTATTTAAAAATCATTTAATAATATAGAGAGTAAGTTAATTTATTTAATTCATTGACTTATAATTTAAACTAATTAAATTCTTTATTTTAAAAATTATTTAATAATATAGATAGTAAGTTATTTAAATTACATATTTATATATATTTATATAATATTTGCATATAATTTAATTTAACAAAATTCTTTATTTATAAAAATCATCTAATGATATAGATTGTAAGTTATTTATTGTTTCTATTATTATATTATATATATAATATTTGTTTGTTAACTAAATTCTTTATTTAAATAATTATCTTTTACTTTAGTTGGTAAGTTTGTGAATTATAGGTTTTTATATATATTTATACAAAAAACTAAGACTTATATTATATTAAATTTCTATTTGAATTTTAGAGTAAGTGTTTTTAATTTTAATTTTAAATTTTAGCATAAATTTTAATATATACTTTATTAATATTTAATTGTTTAAATTCATAGATTTGGAAAAAGTGGAAATACAACTATAGATGAATTTATTTATGAAAAAAATTTAAGATGGATTCCTTATAATAAATTTAAAAATGTTGAATATTTTAGTAAAGGAGGATTTGGTGTTATATATAAAGCTATTTGGTTAAATAATAGTGGTAATAAAGAAGTAATTCTTAAATGTCATAATAATTTAAATGAAAATTTAGATGAATTTTTAAATGAGGTATGAAAAGTTTATTATTTATTTTTTAATATAAATTATAATTTTATCTATACTAATATATTTATATATATTTTATTATTTATAGTGGAAGTGTCATGTAAGTTTTTTAAACTCATATGATATTATTAATTTTTATGGATTTACAGAAAATCCAGATACTTTAAAATATATGGTAGTAATGGATTATGCAAGCAAAGGTAATTTAAGAGAAAATTTAATAAGAGTAATCAACTATAATTGGAAACAAAAATTATATATGTTGTATGAAATTATTACCGGACTTAGTGATATACATGAACAACATCTTATTCATTGTGATTTTCATGATGGAAATATTTTAAATCATGAAGATAAAAGTGAGGATAAACTTTATGTTTGTGATTTAGGATTATGTCAACCTGTAAAATCATTATTGAAGGAACATAGTATTTATGGTGTTGTACCATTTATGGCACCTGAAGTATTAAGAGGCAAATCTTATACTCCAGCTAGTGATGTATACAGTTTTTCTATGATTATGTGGGAATTTACATCTGGAGTACCACCGTTTAATGACAGAGCACATGATTTTAAACTTAGTTTAAGTATTTGTGAAGGTGAGCGTCCTGAAATTATTGAAAATACCCCACAATGCTATGTTGATTTGATGAAAAAATGTTGGGATGGAGATCCGTTAAAAAGACCATCTTCTAAAGAAGTCTTAAATATTATTGGAGAATGGATTTTTCTTCCTTATGATAAGAAACTTGAAGACATTAATGAAGAATTAAAATGCAAGATTATGAAATTTATAAATGCACCAATTGGGTATAACAATCTTACTACTGAATCTCATCCACAAGCATGTTGTACAAGTCGCTTACTTGATTTTAATAGTAAAAAATTGAATGAAATTCTTGAAAGTAAAAATTCACAAGCTAGTGTACAAGTGAGTGAAATGCTTGTAAGTGAAGATTTGAATGAATTTATGGTTAATTTGAAGTAATTAGGTATGTGAAGTATATATAATATAGCCAATATGATATAAAATAAATTAATTTACAAATTATTTACATGAGATTAATTTTATTCATTTAATATTTAGATATTAAAACAAATGAAAATTAAACTAATTATTTGAGTTTTAAAAAGATATTAGTTTTTTTTTTTGTAATATTTGATGTCATGCATTTAAAATTGTTCTTTATTTTATTCTTTTTAGATTTATTTAAATACTAAGGCTAGAGTAGCAAAATATTTTACAAGATTCTTAGTTTGTAATTTGAATAATTCCTTTTTTTTATATATATTTCATCCAAATATTAAATATATGTATTCTCTTTTTAGAATTATTTAAAACATTAGGATTAGAGTAGTAAATATTTTACAAATTTCTTAGTTTGTAATTTAAATAAATCTTTTTTTTATACCTTTTCATTTATTTAAATATAATATAAAGCATATAAAATTATTTTCATTGTGTAAAATTAAATAAATATATTCATTTCAAGAGCTAATAATACCAATAATAAATTCACATATAATAATATAAACAGATGTTTGATTCATATGAGTTGATTTTTATAATAAAAATTATCTTCTACATAGAATTTTTTAACTTTACTAAAAAAACCATATAGAATGTTTAATGTCTCTAAAATTCAAGAGTTTTATGAATACAAATTACATTACTATAATATAATAATTATTATGTTCAATAATACAACATTATTTCTGTAAAAAAGTTGATCCGTTTTTTATATTCCATCTTTTTTCCGTAAAAGACTCATATTTCCTGAATTAATAACCTTATATCATGGAATTTATCTACATTTTTTGTGAGTAGATCCGTAAGAGGCTCATTTTTATGGAGTTTTTACAGAAATAATGGATAAAATCTTTTATAGGGACGACGAACACAAATAATAATTTATTTGCCCTATAAAAAAAAAATTCTTTAAAATGTACTTAAAATATACTTATGTATTTTTTAAAATATACTTAAAATATACTTATATATTTTAAAATATACCTAAAATATACTTAACATTTTAAAATATACTTAAAATATACTTAAAATTGCAATTTTAAGTATATTATAAGTACATTTAAAAATTTTAAGTACATTTTAGATATATTTTAAAATATTTAAGTACATTTTAAGTATATTTTAAAGAAATTTTTTTTCATAGGGATTGTACTACAATGATTATAATCTAGTCCTATACTGTTTTATTTATCCAATTATACCATTAAAAATAATAAGAATAAATGAATTATTGCAGAAAGACATTTGATATTAAACGAAATATTTCATAAATTGCTTGTTTTTATATAAATATATACCGTATAACGGGGGCCATAGTACCCCGGGTATGATACAGATTTCAGAGGTTTTGACCTTATACCCGTGAGTTTTTATTATTAGTAGATATGTATAAAACTTATATAATATTTGGGTATTTATCATGCGTAATACCTAGGTATTTATTAATTATTTTAAATAATAAAATCGGTAGAAAATGGGAGTTCTATTTTGTAGGGTACTGTGCATGGGGTACTGTGGCCCGCAAAATCTGGTAATTAAGGAAGCATTAAGGTTAGAATGCCTTCACTATCACCACCTCATACATAATACGGTCAACTCTCTTTAAGTGCACCTCCATTGGAACCATAGTGAAACTTTGAAAAAATGTGCATTTAGAAATGGTTTGCATTTAGAGAAAGGAATTGTTCAAGGCCATCCCATTAAAAAGAGAAAAGATGAAACATTAATAAAACATTTAGTTAAGTGAATAATTAAAAAGAAAAAAGACAAACTGTTAGTAAAGTTCGTTGAAATAAAATAAATAAAAATTTTTAAATTTGAAAAACTTAACAAAATTTCGCGTTCAAGAAGACTGAAAAAACGGCCTAAAAAGTTTCGTTTAGGAATTTTTTTTCAACAGAAAGTACGAAGTGGGAAAGGGGAAAGAAAGACGAAGAAAAGGGAATGGTAGGGAAAGGACAAAGGAAGGGGAAAGAGGACGAAGGGAAGGAAAAGAAAAATGAAGAAGAGTTTAATAAAAAAGTAAAAAGTGTTTTAGGAACCTAATTGCTGATCATTATCGTTACTAATTGAGTCGATAGAGAAGGTTACACCTTATTGAAATATATTGTTAATAAAAATATTTTAAATAATCGGAATATAATCAATTTGAATACAAAATCGGATTATCTTCAAAATTTTTTCAGAGTATTTCCCAAAAAACTTTTGAAATATAATCGGAATGTTATCAGTATAATCGGAGTATTTTCATAAATTCAGGAAAAAATTGGTGTGTATCCGACAAAAATTTTTTATAGGATCTTTACGATATTAAAATGATATCAAAATGATGTCCTAAAAAAATGATATTATTAACGATATTATTTGATATCTTTACCGATATTATACTAGGAAACGGGAACCGTTGTAAGTCCGGAACGAAAAACTAAAATTTGCCGATTTCATTGGGTGACGATCACGTGGCGGACAGAGAAACTCACGTGATCGATTTTTTTTTCATTCGCTTCGCTCCGGACAATTAATTATATTAATTATAATATCGTAATAAATATCAAATGATCAATATCGTTAGGATTATTTTAACGATATCGGTTAAATTTTTAGAATTATTGCTTTTTTTATTTCAAATCTGAAGACTTCCCATATATTTTTTTAATTAAATAGTAACTTTTTTTTCAATAATCATTTTATATGTGTATTTTATCGCCATCTAACACTCTATAAAACTTAACAATTAATTGCATGTTTAGCTTGGGGAGCATATATAACAGTTCTCTTTCTACGATATAATAAGTAACTAACAGATATAATAATTATTACAGTTGCAATACCACCAGTTGTTCCACCTATTATTGCTGCAAGACCTTCTCCAGGTGATTTAGTTGCATTTGCTGATTTAGTTGCGCTTGCTGGTTCAATTGTACTTGTTGATTCAGTTGTTGTATTACTTGTATAGGTATTATTTGGAGTAAAACTTTTAACCCACATGTAATTATTTTTTTCGCTCACGTCAATCATATGAATTTGATCACTAAAAATATCATTAGTAGTATTACGGTATTCTCCTAAACAATATAATAATTTGAAGAAAAATTAAGTAAACTTAATTTAAGTAAAAGCAAGATTTCATCAATATAAAATTCATACCAAATGCAATAATCATATAATTTCCAACAATAGTAGCCGTATGATCACGGAATGGTGCAGAGCTAGGTACAGGATCGATATTAGGAACGGACCATGTAAAAGAGTCTACTTTGGTATCTAAAACTGATATTTGATCGGGAACAGGTAAGAATTGAGAGTCTACTCCCCCATAAATGATAATAAGATCATCTTGTGCTAGAAAATTATTTAACCCATTTTATTAAAAATACTTTATTTAATCTAATATATGTATTTTTTAAAATTGATATATACTTAAGACCGCTGTGTGTAAAGCTCTAGATGATGGTTCAATTCCACTTGTACTCTAATAATATAACAAATTTTGTGCATTAAATAGCAGAGAATAAATAATTGGCATAAATACCCTTCCTCTTTACAAAATTATTTACCATATTTATCCATGTTCCATTAATGGTATCATATATGTAAATATTCCGAAACTGCGTTAATATAATAAACATACAGCCAATTAAAATAATTACTTATCTAATAATGATAAAACAATCAATCAAAATAAACCGTACATTAACCCACAAATCATCTATTCTTTTGCCGATATAAGCAATTCTTCCATCTGGTAATAAGATCGCCGGAGCAAGATAATTCGGTATATTCAAATCAGGCAAAAGAAAATATTCCAGCTGGAAATATCCATAATAGTAATCTCATCATGAATAACACTACCATCATATATATATATATATGATCCATTTTTATTACAGACGGCTGATGACCATTGAACATTATCGAAACTTATAACCGGTACCCACTCTTTGTTATTAATAAATCTATAAAAAAAACTATCTTTAGAAACTCCACAGATTAGAAAGATCGTATCATTGTTAGGACCACATATAGTTGATACCCCACTACTACTATGAGGATGAATTTTACGAGCATCGTTACTTAAATCGACTATTGGTAAAGTAGAATCCAAATTAAAAGGTTTTGAAACGTCTAAATAAAAAAAATCATTGGTTTCAAAATAGTTTTCTATTGCTCCACCAAGAAAATAAATTTTATTGTCCATATAACTTGCGGTGTGCCCCTTACGCCCAACAAGTGTATAAGAACTAGTAATAATTAATTGTGAAAAAAATACAAAAAATAATATAGAATATCGAGACATTTGATTAAAAATTTCACAAATACATTATGTTTAAAAGAACAAATTCATTTGGTAATATGCTACAAGACCACAACAGTGAAAAAAATTTTTTATGCGATAAAGTATAAATTAATGACGCAAACAATGCTAAAAGATTCCGCGCAACCTTAATAATAAGTCACCACACTACTAGATATAAAGGAAAAATCAAAATACAATATAGGGCGTAATACGATATGACGAAAATAGGGAAATAGGTGAGGACAAAATGGAGAAACTAAATGTAATAAAAACATATCGTGTTGTGTTACGAATATGAAACAGTAAATTGGCGAATTATTTAGCCTGTATAAATTAGGTTTCATATCTGTATATGATCTATATGATCTGCAATCAATCATTGGTCTCAGCGTATAAAATCTATTATCTCCTGGCTAATTGGAATAATAAAAATTTTACGGCAGAAGGCCGATCATTTATCCAATCCTAGTAAAATTTTACTTATTCCTAATTAGCCAGGAGATAAGTAATACTTCTAAATTTGTCGAAGGATTCCTTGTAAAACCGGAAAAATTTTTAAATTCCAGAATTTTTTTTGGATATGGCATATTAGATTTCTGGGAAATTTTATTAGTAAGTGAATATCCTTTCTTTTTGAAGCAAATCCGGAATTTTAAATTTATTCCGGTATTTTCTTAGAGATTTTTTTGCATGCTGTAATCCATTTATGTTAAAATAATATACTGTAAATTTGTTTTTAGTTTAAGACCTTTGCAAATTTTCATTACTATTAAAGTTCTTTTATAGAAACGAAAACTTTCCTCCCTCATTCTCTTCTTTATCTTCCCTATAGGGATAGAAACGACTCTGTTGGTTCAGCTTCAGTTCTGCGAGCTAAACCAAGTCGGAGTGAGCCTGACCGATAGGACTGGTTCCAAACCCCGGTTTGAAGCAGACTTTCAAACGACATTTGCGAACGGGTTCGTTAATTCTGTTATGTCACATGACGTTACACAAATTTCCGAAAAAGTAAATTGAACTGACGATCACTAATTTCACTTAATTATTATTATATTTCAGCATTTAACATGTTTTTTTAACTTACATATTTTCAGAGGCCAAAAGTGAAGAAAGGAGATTGTAATTAATATTTTGGATGGGTAGATTTTTTAGTTATTGTTTAATCAATAATAGTGTAACCATGTATAATTATAGCCTAAGAAAAATTGTCATGCACCACGAATTACTATACATAAACTTGATTCTTTGATTATATTAACTTTTTATATTAAAAAATTTAATGATCAAATAAATTTTAGGATTGGCTTTCATATAAAGTGACTCACTATTATATTGATTATATGATTATGCATAAAAGTTTTGTTACAATAATCTAATAATACTGTGCATCAATGTTCCGATTCAATATATTGACACTGCTGTACTGGCTAAATCAACAAATGAATCTTTATTGGGTACAGTATATGAATATAAAATCAAATATAATATTACCAATGGCCGTCTGAAAAAAGTTCTCTCAGTATAAATGATTTAAAAGCCCTCTCAATAAGCTGATACATTATTCCTCCAAGCATTATTAACTATTTATCATCTTTATTAATAATATAACTAGGGATGTTATGAAATTTGATCCAAACTGGTTTTATCCGAGTTTGATATAGTTTAGTCTAAAACTAGCTAGCTCACTAGTTTGAACAATCTTTGTTCGTTACTGTAACTTTGTTCACTTTGAGAAAATAAAAATAAAAAATCAATCTTGTTTTCAAACCGTGTTTGATCAATCTGTTCTTTAGTTAGGTTTAGTTGAAACTTTTTTATTTCATTTCAATTTATAAATTTTACATATTTATTTATATTCTAATTATCACCATAACTCTAGAATTTTTCTTAAATGAAATTAAAGTAATTTCTGAAAAATCAGACAAAAAATAATTCATATTATGCCATTATAAACTTTAAGTTCCAAACTACTAGATTTTCAAATACAAATGATACAATAACTAACAAAAGAGTCATGTAAGTCATCGAATTTGGTGTATTTACAGATGATGATAATTCTCTTTCCTATAAAAAATTTTATCCGTTATTTCTGTAAAAACTCTGTAAAGGTGAGCCTTTCACGGATCCATTCACGGAAAATGTAAATAAATCGATAAATTCCATGATATAAGGTTATTAATTCCATTTTACAAAAAAAAAATGGAATATAAAAAACGGAACGATATTTTTATTATCGTACAATATTGATATCAATAGTTTATTTGCATACAATATTGAATATCGATAGTTTATTTGCGTGCAATATCAAGTTTATTTGAGCATGATCTGCATTAGCCGTACGATAATATAGATATTGTACAGTGGTAGTCATTTTGTTGTTCATAACATTGAAAATCATTTCAATCAAATTAAAGTTAATACTTTTATTAAGAGATTTATATTGATAGGGAGAATGTTAACATAACGATAATGCATTTTTACAAGGAAGATTCTAGGTGAAAAAATTGGTTCTCATCCTGGCGGAACGGGAATTCCAAATTTTTATTATTTTTTTTTATGTTAAACCAATAAAATTGCTTAAAGTTATATTGCGTCCCTATAAAAAAATTGGATACGTTTTTTATAAAGTTTTATACGATTTTTTTCCTTAGAAATAACGTATCATAATAGGATACAGAAAAATGCACAATTCCGTATCACTAAAAATATGGTTTGGATACGGAATTTGCACGGGATTCATATGGAATTTACATGATTTGATCACTGATTTTATCACGAAATTTATACGACTTGGTCACTGAATTTACTATTTGTATTACAGTTTAATATAATTGTATTTTCATAAATCTAATTTTACTTTATTAAATTAAATAAAAAATAAAAAATAAATAAAATACAAATACATTATGAAAAATCCCTCCTTATTAAAACCACCTATTGCAACCAAAATTATCTATAAGTTCAGGTTCATTTGGAGTCAAACAACTAAAAAACAAAAAAAAAGAAACATAAGAACATCTAACTTAATTGGAAACAAAACCCCCCTAATATAGTATCTGCAATCATCAAAGTCACCAAAGGTTAGCATTCCTACAAAAAAGAAAGAGAACTCCAAAATGTCTGACCTACATAAAAGAAAAGTATTATAAAGCGTCTGATGAAAAAGAAACCAAAACAACAAAATAAATCCAAAACTGATCTACAAAAAAAGAAGACTCTGAAGCAACAAACTGAAACAACCTACAAAAAAAAAAGAATCTGAACCCAACTTACAAAAAAAAAAGAAAATTTGAACTGACCTAAAAAAAGAAAAAATCCTGAACCATCCTACAAAAAGGAACTCCCAAACTGATCTACAAAAAAGAAAAAAGAAAACTGAATCTTCTCACAAAAAAAAATCTGCTGGTCTATGAAATAAAAAAAG